TTATTCATGTTTTTATTTTTCTCAGCTGCTTCTCAGTTCATCAATATGTTATATGACAGAAGATATCATTCACACAGTACATGCTTCCTTTTGTTTTGGAAATGAAGACTTCACTAACAGCAGTGTATCTTTCTCTGAGTTTACTAGGGTATTATTGTTCTCTGTTTCTTGTGGTATCAATATAATTAATACTTAACATATTGATTCCCTCAACCAAAGTGGCGAGTGTTGTTCATCTTCTCTTTAACCTTATTTTCTTCTTCTTCTGCCTCGTTATTCATCTCTTTGTCACAGCTCACTAAGCCGTCTGCTTTCATTTCATCACATTAGCTGGAGCTCCCCCTCCTGCTGAAGTTAGTATTTCCCCTCCACATTGCATCAAACTCTGCTGGAACCTGAATCAAAACACCCAGTCTGTATCAACTGTATAATTTGTTGTGAAAACAGATGAAATATTCACTTAAATATGACTTTGAGGGCTTAATTCAGCAGGAAGAGAGTTCTGATTTTTCTTTTCTTTTCTTCCTCATATTGGAGTAAAACTGACTCTTCCTCACAACATACTGACGTATTAGTGACACCTCATTGTTTGGGAAATGTCTCATAATCAAACTCGACAGAGGGAGAAAACCAGCGCTCGAGGTTCAGAGGTCACGCTGTATTGTGATCTACTGTACGGAGGTGTAACCTGACCTCAGTGAGGCCTTTGTTATGAGACCAGAACCTTCCGCAGTTTTAAAGAGGACCCAGGAAGGTGGACTGAGGAACTCCTTCATTAACCCTGACACTAGTTGTTTGTTGGCTTTTTATCAGATCTATGGAATTCCCCAACATTTTTTTAAATCACCTTTATAATTACTAGTTGTTTGATTTTGTTTCTTTGCATTGTATGTGAGCTCCTGTGACTCATATCATATGTGTAGGAAAGGAAGGAAACCACAGGTAAGGTAATTTGGAAGACTAGTCTGCATTTTAGTCATTGCTACATTTCAATAAATAAAAAACATCCTGCTTAACTCTTTAAAATCTGATTGCTAATTTTGTTGAGATAAGGATAGAAAATCTATTGAGTTCACGATTTTATGTTATTTTCCGTTCTGGCAGTAAAAAGAAAAAATGCTGCCATCTGAATATTTTTGCTGAAATAATTGTCTTGTTGTCTGTATATAGCCCGGAGGTTCCCCAGCCCTGTTTCCTGCTTTATGTAGCTACTCCAGAACCGTCATTCCCTATTTTCTTTAAAACTGTACATGCTGCTGATTAACTTCTCTCACATGCTTCGTAAAAAAAACTCACCTCAGACGTGACCTTCAAGAATATTAATGAGGAGCCTGTGCCCTCTAAGTCAAGCTGATTGACCTCTGTCCCTCCCCTCTGCCCTCTATGTTTACAGATGCTTAAAGATCATTTTCAGGCCACATTGTTTTCTCAGAGCAAACATGCATTGTTATAGAAATCATCTGTGCTTTCCACAAAAGCTGGAGGGAATCATTTGAAAATTAGCTTGTTGTAACATCCCTGGGAAAAAAAACTGGCATAAACAAATCAACCGTTAAATAGGATTGTAACTCCACAGTAACCTTCACAAACGACGAGTCATTTTAAACACAAAAGACAGCACATGCAGCAGTTGAGCCATTTTCCAACTCACACTATAGTAAGAAAACATTTCCTGACTGCACATGTTGGTCAAAACATGGAGGAGGCTCAAGTTGGTGTTTTGAAAAGCACGAGGACTTGTTAAGAAATGACTCATGGTTTTTAAGAGCGCAGAAACAATATGGCTGCAAGATGTTTGGGGGCATTGGAGCTGCAAACACGCCGCTTGTATGTTCTCCCCTTGTTTTTCTCACAGTGCAAGAGTTGCTGTGACATCTGGAAGCGCTCAGGAGGCAGGACTGAAACTTCCCCCCATGTCGTTTCTCAGGGCACACACATCAAAAGGAAGTGGGTGATAACATCTTGTCTCTCGTAAAGGTGCCTCAGCATTGAGCCACCAGCACGGCGGCCTCAAACGGTCTAGTCTAGTGCGGATGGCTAGTTGCTTTGGGACACATATGGTACTAAGTGCGAAAAGGATGAGAAGCACCGGACGAATGAGTTAATAATAATGTCCAGAAAAATTGGGTCTGGACTTTTCCCGGAGTTGTCTGGATCAGCTAAATGTCTGGAAAAGCCAGACTGAACTTTCATCCTCTGCAGTTGATCACTGGTTTTTAATAACTTTATGTCTTATACCGTTCAGCATTACTCTTGAACTTGATAAGCCTGATTCTGCCAACTTAAGTTTGGACATCCGAAAGCAGCTTTAGTCCCTCTTTTGGTTTCTATCATAGTTGAAGGTGGGGTTGAACAGGACTATATTAGGTGGATTAGAGCATTAGAAATAATATCATTTATTTCAGAACGACATTATCTTCTACTGTAACCTCAGTAAAAAAACTCCTTGCAGAACATTTGAATTTGTTTAGGAGTGGGCAACCTTTTTCCTGTCTCGCACCATTTCAGTAATTATAACGTCCTTTAAGTGATAGAACATTTGTCACACTAACCTATTTATATGATGGATGGACCTGCTTCTCTTTGAGGAGACGTCTGAGATGGTGGCAATGATGATGCTGCTTGCAGCTGGTTCTCCAGGTCAGGATAGAGAGTTGCATTTTATTTATTTCTCATCGCTCAGTTTTGGGTGGGGTCTTTGCCTGAGTCAGTTCTGAAAAGGTTTGTGTTAGAGATCAGGTACCTCAGATAGAGCCACATTTTACAGCTTAGTAAAAATGTTCAGCTACAAATTCTGCCAAAGGCCTGAGTGAGTTTTAGATAGATGTCATAGCAGGTCTTTGTTCACGCAGTCTAGCAAACACAGTGTCATTATTCTTTATTAGTCTTAGGCACGTGCAGATCCGTTTCAGCTTCTTAATTATTAGCACCCTCATGCAAAACTTGACACTCAAACTCAGCTGATAAGCATTACATTTACTTTGACACAGACCTTTTCCATAACTGCAACTGGTTCCCTCCTTGGAAAGTGGGCACAATGCTTAGTCTTCCACTGGTCGGTCATTTGTCCATACCTCTTTGAAAGTGCGGCATCCTGCCTCTATTTTTCTTTTCTCGAGAGCTGAAAAAAGAATAATTTCGAGTCAAAGAAAAGTGTGCAATGTGGTTAAAATTTTTAATTCTTACTTGAGAAATACCAGTGTTCCATATTGCGTACTGGCCCAGAGGTTAAGGTGCCGACCACAGACTGTAAATGAAGATGGACCCCCAGTGGTGGGATGGTAAGATGGTACATTGATTTTTAATTAGTTGTTTCATGCTATAAAAACAGGTTGAAATGTAGTGATTGACTGAGACTCCTGATTGGTGTGTGTATCGACGAGATCTGCTGATTGTGACTAAACCCCATGATCACTACTGCACAGACCCTGACTCCAAATGATGTCAAAAGCCCAAGATGGCGGCACACGTATTCAAGGTATTTTAGCGTAATTTTTGGGAAGTGGAGACGCCTCGTTCATCTTTATTTAAAGTCTATGGTGCCGGCCATGAATTGTATGATCTCCAGTTATATCTCTCCCTCACTTCCTGTTACTTCCTGTCTAATTAAAGCATACAATGGAAACATTTATCTTCAAAAGTCAAAGCCTCAGCTCGCTTCAAGTAAAGTGTTGGTTGGATCATCAAACAGCATCTGAGACTTTCACACAGTCCTGCAGTAGAGTCTGAATGAAAAGGTGAGCGTGGAACACCTGCTGCCGCTCTCAGGTCTTTTATTTGGTGAGAGGTGTGTTTTTTTTGTCTGTGAAGCCGCCAGCACCTGATATTTACTCTACACAGCAGAGGCCGACCTTCTCTGTTTCAGCTCTGCTGGTTCTCGCCGCAGTCATGAAGAGATAATGAACTGAGAGAACAGATTAGACCTTTTCACTGATTGGTGGTTAGACAGGCTTTTTCATCTTCAGGCAACAGAAAGGAAGTCTTTAGCTGTAATTTTCTCAAGTCCAATTTTGGGAATTGAAGCATCAGAAACTTATGCAGCACCGTGTGGGTTAGGATTGGTTTTGTTTAGGATTAAGCAACAATTAACTTCATCCTTGTGTATTAAATTGCGGTTTATAAGTCCAGTACACAGTTAGGATGATGAAACATTACATAAATCTATTAAAAACAAAACATATTTAGGGTTTAAAATGAAACTTGTTTCTGTGAAATAAAGCCTGACTGGGGCTCACATCCTCGACAGTTGTTGACATGCTCAGGCTCAGGAGGTAAAGCGGGTTGTCCACTAACCAGAAGGTCAGCGGTTGGATCCCCGTCTATTACACATGCTGAAGTGTCCTTAAGCAAGATGCTGAATTCCAAATTTCCTATATTTCGCTGTATGATTGAACACAGATGCACTGGATGGATGGATCTAAAAACCGAAAAGTGCTATATAAGAACAGACCATTTACAACTAGCTGTGTTAGCAAGGGCACTGAGAACACACAGCTGCTGCAGAGTTCATGTCTCTGTCATGTAGTTACATGTGTATTTCTTTCTTCACTCTGGGGACTCCAGTGATCCTTTAATTTGCAGAAGAATGCGTTTCAAATTTGGCTGAAGACAAAGAGGCTGCGTGTGGTAAATAACACGTGTGTGACTCATGCTTTGAGTTTGACCCTGCACACTTTATTTTTGCTCATATTTACGCAGGGATCAGAGATTCAGTTAATCAAAACAGTAAAGTGGCAGCACCGACTGAAACAGTTTGAATTGATCCTTCATTGATTTAGTTTCAGGGTGATCAGAGAGGACCCACCTACAGTCTGCCCATCTCCCCTCCCCTCGCCTCTCTCCCACCTTTTGTCTGTGTCATCTTGTGCTCTGCGCAAAGGAGAAGCCGCAATCCGCAGCGAGCGGTGCGCAAATTTAACTCTTTTCCCAAATTACCAAACGCGACAAGAGATAAATACGGTTTGCGCAAGTGTCCTCCCTTTTTCTTTCCTCCCTAACTCTCAATGGGACCAGACGACTGAGGCGAGCCAGCTGCATCACTTCACCCCGGAGCCGCAGCCATGGACTGTTGCGCACATGGTTCCGTGCGCCTCTCGTTCCCCGGATATTTACGCATCGCGCTGCTGTGGGTCGTGCAATTACAAGCGTTCGCCCAACACGGTAGGTGAATGTTAAACTTTTCAGTGGCTCGATTTACCGCAGGTTTGAGCACAAAAGACAAACCCAGCATCCCTCTGTGTCCGAAGAGTTTTGCCAAAATGTCCAAATGGTCCCCAGCTGCTATGTAACAGATGATTTTACCTCTAGGATAAAAAAAAACAACCTTTTCATCTTCATGATCAGATGTGTTAAAAGTAGGTGCAGATGTCTAATGCAAGCCAGAGCCGCACGCACAACGTCTATGAAGAGTTTTCTTGACATAAAATGCAGATATAAGAACATCTTGCCTGATAGAAGCAGCAGATTGTGCAGAGTTGGCCTGAGCTGCTGCATTCCCATCACTCAGCAGCTGCAGAGGTTACATGGACCTTCACAAGACACCAGAGGACAAGACAGAGACAGACACACACACAGGAAGCAACAAGAGACAAAAAGAACAAGGATATTTCATTTAAATGGAACAGGAATTATGGGTAATTGTCAAGTAAAGACAATTATATTTTTGTTATATGTCTTTGATCAACTCAAGAGTTTATTCATCAATTATAGCTGCAGAAACAAGCAGGAGAAAATACCTGGGTGTGTTTTATTCTCCACTATGCAACTTCATTGTTGGTGGTAGGTGCAAAATAAAAAACTTTAGCTTGATCATGATGAACTATTGTTCTGTTAACCCGTGTTTCTCAGTGTCCTCATCTTCCTGCCACTGCTGCACACGTGCGGCCATACATTTAAAAATAGAGGATTGTAAAAGTTGCACAAAACTTTTATGATCCAAGCACAAAAACCTTTACTGGAGTTTCACAGCTGAAAGGTGTCCCCCGCTCTGATTTAATCTCTCGGTTTTTATCTCAGCATGATCATCGGCGGTTACAGGTCCTGTCATCGTTCGCCTGCAGTAACATGCAGTAGCTGTCCTGGTCAATCCTACATGCTGTCAACTATCCCACACACGTCTTTGTCTCCAGGGCCGGACAACAACTGATCAAAGCAGACAATCGTAAACTTTAAGGCAGGCCGTTGTAAAACGGAGCCCTCCCTGCAGCTTAGCAACAAGAATACCAAGGATTTCTGAGGAGGGGCAAACGTTGTGAGATATGATGATAAAAAAGCAAAGAGGCACCATCAAAAGACAAAAATAGGAAAAATTCACACCCATATCAGAGAATACACACAAGCTTCAGAACGGTTAAAAAGAATAGAAATTGGTTGAAAATGTGCTAACCCTGGATAGACAGTTGTTGTGCATAAACAAATAAACTAAACCTGTCTTCTGCAATTCTTCTTTAGGTATTAAATGCCTTAAAAGCTGCTGAGCTTTCAGTGGGGCCATAAATAAAAAGTCCAACAACCTACTATGATGCCAAATGTCTCAGGTTGAAAGTGGTTCAAAGTTTTGAGCGTTACAAATCGAACGTGTCTGATATCTACAGCTGCTTTCAGACATGCACTGAAGTCTGGACATTTTCTTGAGCTGTATGAGAGAACGCAAATGTCTGAGTCAGTTGCCCAGAAATTTTCCTGCCACCCCCGAGTAAAATGTCTCAGGATGAAGAAGAGGTGTCGTAAACGTAGAAGACGGTGATGAAGATATCACCTTAGAAAGACGAAAAGACACGAGAGCTCGTGGTGATACGACACGTGATTTACACAGCGGAATTTATACGTCCTGTCCTGCCTCGTGCATGCTCTACTCTGGCTCCACCCCTCACCTGAATGTTCCGGACTTGTTCTCGTTGTTGTGAACGTGTCTGACCCGTACAATCTCCTGCTGTGTTCTTCCTATGTGAAAGAAAAACTGCAGGTTATATCTTGACCCAATTCTCCAGACAGTTTCCACAATTCATGGCAACAGCTTTAAAGTATAAAGTCATCATGAGCTTCAGCCTAAAAACTCTGTCACTGCTGATCTTTAAAAACACATTATTCAAGCCCTGCTCTTAACAGAAGATAATTACGCCTGTTTAGTGTTAACCATAGTGAGTCTTAAATCATGTAAACGTTTTCTGATCTTTAACCCTCTGTGTGCCCTTCTGACGCCGTCCTTTCTGTTTGGCGCTCGGTGAGTGACAGGCCCTCTGGGAAAAAGACCTGTAACCTCTGTTATGTTAACACCACACGCTCCCAAATTAATCTTTCTTTCCTGAGAAACTGGAGAATTCCCTGTGGAGTCCCTGCACATCTGGGCTGCTGAGGGCCTCCCTCCCAGTGGGATCTCCTCCACCCAGGGGCCGCTTCATTAGCTCACCTCCTCCTACCCCCTATTCCCTTCCCCTTCCCCTGCGGCTCAGTAAACTCATTAAGCTGCCAATTGGAACAGTTTAGCCGGCAGCCAAAGTCTCACCGATTGTCCTCCTCCTCTGTGAAATCCTGGTTGTTTGGACAACCTGTGACCTCAGATCTCTTTAGTGGAGCTGCCAGACAAGGTGAACTCGCAGACAGGCGACCATGTAAACAAAAGCATTTGCTTTCAAGGGGGTGTCAACATGGAGACCAACCTGTAAGACGGTGTTTAGGCTCAGGATCACTAACAGTAACTTTGCCCCGTCCATTCAGGGCTTTGACGTCCTAAATACCCTGAATGTTTGTTTTCCCTGCCACCACAGCCGAACTCAAACAGAAGTGACAGAACAATTTGCTCTTTTTGTTTGGTTGTTAAGAAAGGCCTCTGTTGACAACACCGACCCATTTGGCTTCACAGATGCAGAGCTGCAGCGAGTGTGGAAAACTCAATGTTCTGCTCAAGTAATTCCCCGGGGTTGTTTCAGCCACCAGCTGCAGGCGGTGTTTCAGAGGCCTCTCATGCGCTGCTGGCTTTGACAGAGAGGTGAGGCGAGAGGCTCACAGGAATGTCTGTTATTCTTAGCAGTTTAGATAACCTCTGGTGGTGAAACGATTCGCCCAAATCACCTCTTGAACGATGCCTACGATGCTACTATTTCTTCTCGTCCACTTTGATGTTGACGCTCTTTAACGACTTCAGTTGGAGGACTACAGATGCGTAAACACCCTCCTGAAGTTGCTTGAGGGTTTTTCATCTTAATCTGCATCCAACCGTAACGTTAGCTTATTTAAAGTTTGATAAAAAACTGTCAATTTATGAGCTTTTACTCAGAGCTTTCAACCAGAGATCATAACCTTCATGAGCAGATGGAGTTAGCAGAGGTTATAACCATCTACAGCCAAATTTACATACGACAAGATGGTAGCTACCCCTGAAAAAAGTTATTAAGTGCACCAAGACATAAAATAGTTCTTAACATTATTATTATTCACAAGAGTAACATTTCTCTCTCAATTCTTTTACCTGTAGTATCCAAAGAGAGGACACCTCTCTCTCAGTTTAAGGATATTAGACATTTGTCGTCAGCTTCCCATGACAAAATGAGTTTCTTTTGTTTTGTCTGTCTCTGTAATTGTCTTTCTACTTAGACCCGTTTTGTACACAGCCAGAACAGCGAGACTCGACCAGAGATAAAGACACGATATGATCTTGGCCTGAGATGCTTCAGGTTTCATTTCCTCCTTGTTAAACTGTCTTCTTGTCTTCAGATCAGTAAAAGCGAGAGGAAACTGATTATCTTGACTCACAGGGTCAAACTTGAAACATAGAATATGAGCTTCTTCTTCTTCTCCTCAAAAAAAATGAGTAAAGTCAGCATTTTTCCATATTTGAACAAATGCTCTTCTTCTTCTTCTTTTGGTTTCAACTGCACCACAGTTCAGTTTTTAATGTCGTTCTTTTCATCGTCGTTCTCAGCGCAAGAGTGTTACCCAGGAGGCCACCGGATTCTGAGCGACGCCTACCGGAGCATTGACTTTGACTCCACAGAGATCCAGAACACGGCCATCCAGGACCTGATCTGTGACCACTCGCTGTCACCAGGCTGGTACAGATTCAAGATCAACAACAAGCCGGCAGAGATGCCGACCACCTGCGTCGAGGTAAGACTCCAAAAACAGCAGATGAGCTCTGCCAAAATAAAGCCATTTGTTTCACTTGTTTGTTTCACTTTGTTTCTACTATGACTTTAATTCAGTAAAAAAAACTCTCACCTCTGCCAAAAAAAGCATCAGACATCCTCTGCAAACAACAGATTGGTATAATAAGCACCTTCAGCTCGGCTGGAGTGTATAATAACCCCTCACAGCAGGTAATGACTATTTCTATCTAACCCACTGCAGATGAACCGCTGCGGTACACAGGCTCCAGTGTGGCTGTCACTGAAGGACACCTCCCTGCCGCGGCCCGGTGAGGTCCGCCAGCTCTCTGCCTGTGCCACCTGGCAGTTCTTCCACGGCAGCACCAAAGACTGCTGCCTCTTCCGCATCCCCATCACTGTGCGGAACTGTGGCGAGTTCCTGGTCTACTACCTCCAGCCCACGCAGGGGTGCATGGGATACTGTGCTAAAGGTGAACAAAACAATAAACAAATGATATCTGGGTAGGAGGGATATATATTTACCTAACGTGTAATATTTCTTTTCATTTGTTCAAATGCTCCAGAAAAGCCTAGAGAGGAAACTTGGGATTTGTTGCAATTGTTTTGTGAATTTCTTGTTTCAGTTGCTCCTAATTTGGGACCCAGACTCTGCCCACCAGGCGAGGTGGAAGTCAACGGCCAATGCAAAGGTAAGGTTTTTAAAAGGTCAACTTTTGTTTATCGTTGTATGAATGAAGAGAAACAAACTCTCTGTTTTCAGCTGCTGTCCCATCCCTCCCCTCTCGGCCGGTGATCACCCCGGAGCTGATTGGCCACAGCGTCCACTTGAGGTGCTCCTTCATCCCGCCGCCCTGGAGCCAACCGCTGGTCTACCAGGTAGTTTGGGCCAGACACGTCGGCCACAGCATGAAGGCTGAGATCCGGCAGGAGTCCACCCTGAAGCCCTTCTCTCTGGTGGAGATGGATGGTGTTCACTTCAGGCTCGGAGAAACGGTAATTTTGGTGCTGAAAGTTTCATGGGAAGCACGTGTGGAGTGTTTCCCACCGTTGGTCACCGTGTGTCATATCCCGATAAGAGAAGGCAAGAGGAAGGCGGAGAAGTTAAATCAGTTGCAGGTTGGAAAAGCCGTGCTCCACATGCTTCTCATTTAAAACTCTCCACTTTAAATTCAAGTGAAGTGAACACATTCACAATGAAGTCGTCTCTTGTGACGTTTTATCGACACCACAGCACTCGCACAGTAGGACGTTCTGCTCCTGCTCAAGGACACTTTTGCACTCAGCTTACATCTGCATCCAACTGCAGATAAGTCATGCACAGTACATGCATGACAGCAGTCAGGTGGGCTTCAGCTGTTTTTAACAGAAGACACAAGGTGATACAAAGAACTGTCAGAATTTGTAAGCACGTGATGTTTGATGTCAGTTTGTTGAGTCTGAAACATCCGACCGTTTCTTTGATTTCAGCATTTAGCAGCTGCGAGAGGAGCTGAATATTAAGATTGCGTTTAAATCAAACTTCAGATTGAGCTCAGACAAGAGCTGGAACTTTTCAAGCACACTGTCAAAATCTTAATATACGAGAGTCCTGTGCTGCTGAATAAAGAAGCATGTTGCATTCACTTGAGAAAAGAAAATCTGCTCTGTTTTTTCTGAATTAACTTAAATTTCAGTCTGAACAATCCGAAGGTCAGTATGTGCCTGCACAAAGCTGGCAAACTAATAATGCAATAAGGCAGTATTAAGATTTGTTTTTCTTCATGAAGACATTTCTCAGAATTCTGGGAAAATAATCTTTGTTAATTCAGAGTTTCTTTTCTGAAGGGAATGCGTTACTCTTCTGTAGCTGACCTAAGCTGCTTTCAGACACGCAATGGACTCCTGGATTCACGGTGAGCGAGTGGCAGGGTTGTTTGTCTAACACGCGACAAGCAAAAATGAAACAGAAAACAAATATCTCCTGGTGAAGAAGTGTGGTGTCGTGGTGCAGTAAACACGATCACGTGATCTCAGAGTTTACACAAACTAAATTCCTTTAGCATGAAACGAGGGTGAAAACTGAAGAAACAACACAAATCTGTATGTTGATGTATAAAGACAGCAACAAGACAGAGGCAGCCGACCGCCCTCATTTCCCAGAGAAATAATTTCCTGAGTCATTACATTTTCAATGTGACTCTGTTTGAAAACGAGGTGATGTCACTTTCACAGCTCGCCCCTGACCAGCTGTGCACCACTGCGCTGCCATATTTGGACACCAGGCTTGTATTAGTTGTGTCTGGAACGTGTTGCGGAGGGCTGGGCTCGCTCACGAGGCCCATCTTTAACACATGTTGATACTGCAGCTGAGTTGGGTCAAAGATCATCTACATTTTTTTTTCTCTACCCTGAGAGTGAGTTAAATGTTAGTGCTCTTAGAGCCGGGGGATCGGAGGGGCGCTGCACTGTGGGCTGCACAAGGAAATGTTTTGATAAATCACAAATACAGTGTCAGTCGTACGTTGTTCGTCTTTTTCATAGATAGCATGAAATTTAAAGAAATTATTCAATTAGAAATGTTCTTGAAAGCTTAAAATGATTTTGTTCACAAAGATAGCCAGAGAAGACATTAAGGAGTAGAGTCAAAGAACTATTTTCAATAGATCAACGATAAATTTGTGTGAACCTTCTTAAATTCTACAACTGACGATGTACAAGAGGCGGCAACAACACCATGGTTGTAAATCCTCCAACGAGGCCCTGTGCCACAAGCTTTGAAATGTTAGAGATTTGGTTTAAATATGAATGTAACATATTTCGAGAGGTTGGTTCAATGTGGCCCCCTATGTCCCTACAAACATTCCTGTTATGCTTTTATCTGTCCTTGCAGTTCTCCTGCAGTGTGTCGACTTTCAGAGCCAACTCCAGCCGCACCAGATCTACTCCGAAAGAAAGCGAGAGTTTCTATGCCGGACTGAAGGTAAACAATCTTGTGTTATGTTTAAACTCTAGTCTACGCCAGGATAAGAGGAGGCGTTCCTTTATACTCTGGCAGAACGTGAAAGTAAACCTCACAGAGCTGGAACATGGGAAGCCAAACTCACCAGAAGCTTGTTTTCCCTCTTCTTGCACTTCAGTTTTCTCCCGAGTCGCTCCACATAGCAGAGAACGGAAAGGAGCACAAGGTGACCGTCCACAGCACAGTGCCCATCCCCTGCTACAACACCAACCAAGGCCACCAATGTGGAGTCCCTCTGGCTCTGAGCGTCCACGACCCAGGTCAGACCTACAAGAAAACAGAGGATGTCAGCTTTGTTAAGTGGTGGAGACAGAAAATACTGGAACAATCTTTAAGCCTTAATATCCTCTTAAATTGATTTTTTTTAATTTGTGACCAAATGACAAATTAGAGGAAGTGAAATCAGCAACTGAGACCCTGAATTCTCATTAATTCATATAAGGATGCATCAAGAGAAGTTAGTAATGAACCATCGATTTCATGTTAAAATCACTTTTACACCATTAACTTAATATATGGCTTCTAATTGACGGCCTGTTTGGTTTTAATCCTTTTTAAGATTTACAGAAAAAGAAGCAGGAGAGCCCAAATATACATGTTGGCCCCACAGTGTGGTCCTGACTTTTAATTTATTTATTTAGTAAAAACAAAGATGCCCTGAAAAGGAGCTTCTAGGCTTATTAAAGATGATGAGAGGGTCAAGTTGCCATCCTCACTCTTCTCCCCTGCTGCTGTTGACACTAAATTTCCTCCTTCCTGCTCTGGTTTTTTCTTCTGTTGTGCTCCGACTTGTCCAGTACATCATCACATCAAAGCCAGCCCGCAGGGACTTTTATTACAGTTCTGCAGGCAGCTGTGTGCTGTCCGTTAACACTAACTTACCGCTGTGCTGACACCCACAGACAGTCTCGGACACGAGGCCTCCAATGTGGCGCTGTCCGCCTGCCAGGTGGAGCTCCAAACTACTGCCTGCAGCAATGGCAGCTGTGGTCGGACGTTTTTTGTCACTGCCGTCACGGATTTCACACGAGATGGGAACCGTCCAAGTCTGATCGTTGCTCTGCCAGCACCCAGCGCACCTCGACTCTGGAGGAACTACGTCCCTGTGTCGTTAAAAGTGAGTTTAAGTGAAATTAAAACTCAAGTCAGCGCAGAGGTTCCAGGGATTGAGAGACATAAATTGGAATTGTGGGCCTTAAGAGGAGTCAAGACATTGAGGATCCTTGTTTACTAAGGGTTCAGGAAAAAGTTCATGCCATTCTTGAGGGTTTATAAGGGAACTTTAAAAGGGTTTTAGAGGAGGAAAGATGAGTAGTCCCATTAAACCCCCCGAGAGGCTTCCGGTGCTCCTGGAAGTCGGGGAAAATTGGAATTCGTTGCATCAAAGTTTCTTGGGACTTAAGGAGCTTTTTAGGGCTTTATGTAGTTTTTTGCGAAAGTCTTAAAGAAGATGCTAAAGGACAAGCCTGGGGAGCAACTGTAGATTTTGCAGGCTCTGTGAGGAGATAAAAGTTCTAGTGGATGTTACAAAAGTAATTTTCTTGCACAGATTCTTGATATTAGGGTCTTGAATTGAAGGGGTCTTCAAGGGCCCCTAGGTATTTGACGATCCCTGGTGGGGAACCCTCAAGAGGGCACTAGGGTCCAAAACTGAATGAAGGAGCAGCGGAGTGATATAATTATCTAAGTATGAGTTTAATTAGAGAGTATTACAAAAACTGATTACAGGTCTCTCTGTCATACTGTGTACATATACACCAAGTGATACAGTGCTTTATTAAGTTAGAGGGGGGAGTGTGACTGACATGAAGTTTGAGGAGTGCTGCTCTAAATGGTCATTAGTTATGTCCACACAAGCCATTAGGTTATGTAAGACATGATGTCAGCCCTGCAGACACTGTGTCTCTGAGGCGTCCGCAGAACAGATGGGAATCTGTGTGCACGGTAAAACATCAAAAGCTCAAGGTTAGAGGGTCACAGGGTGGGTCCCCGCTAATCTTTGTTACCCTGACCCCTGCTCCCAGGTCACGGTCCAGGACGTTCCTACTTCCATCTGCTACTCTCTGACTGACCCACATGTCATTACACTGGATGGCAGGTAAATTTACTCTGTTGTCAAGTTTAATTAAATAAATAGTAGTTCTGCTCCCATATTTAAACATCGACGCATCTGCATGTACTTCTATGTGCAGGCGTTATGAAAACCACCAGACCGGCACCTTTGTCCTGTACCGGAGCCTCGTCAGGACATTCGAGGTCCATTCTCGTCAGTGGGACTGCGGCAGCCGACACTACGCCGTCGCATGCAACTGTGGTGTCGCAGTGCGGGAGGGGAATGAGGTTGCCGTCTTTGACATGTGCAATGGGCAGCCGCAGGAGACCAGACCGCAACTAAAACTTAAGAACCTTGGTGATGAAGAGGGCAGTCGGGTCAGGGTGCTGGAGTCCCACCAGGGGAAGAAGGTCACCGTAGGTATCCGAACATTTTGACACTGGTGCAGATTTTCGTCATTATTGGAGTTTGCTTCCCAGGAAAGATTATTGGCTTCATCTATGTTTGAACCACGTCACATAAATTCTGTTAATTAGCTGCTGGATGTGACTCTCCTCTTGTAGTTGATCTTTCCCTCCGGGGCCTTTGTTAGGGCCGATGTTGGCGATTGGGGGATGAGCCTGTCTCTCCGGGCGCCCAGCGTCGACTACGGCAACACTAAAGGCCTCTGTGGCACCTTTGACCGTAATGGCAACAACGATTTTCACAGCTCTGATGGTCTCTTCTATGGGCCTAATGACCTGCATCGCTTCATACAGGACTGGAGGTCAGTAAAACTACGATGTTTGTTTTGATTTAAACTTTTTAATTAATAAGGCAGAAATGAGTCTCTACAAAGCTTTTTGTTTGTTTTGTGTGCGTTAGAATTGCTCCAGGTGAGAGTTTATTTGACAAGACACCTCCTGGGATGACACAGGAGGTCAGGAGGCCTTTCTGTCACTGCCAGAACGAATACAGCACTTCTCATCATGCCAGCAGAGGGATGAGGAACCTGTACAATCCCCCCGCTCATGCCGACTGCATATCTTACGATAGTGTCGATTACACATCTGTCTTCCCCTCCATGGACACGACAGTGGAATACATCAAGAGTCCAGGAAGAGAGGAGAGCATACTGCATATGACTGCCTTTAATAGTCATCCTCTGGAGCGGAGGCACCTTCAGTTTCACAGTGAAAACGGTGACAGTGATGTTGAACTAGACAGTGAGTTCAGGGAGGATCATCTGCTTTCCGTTGACAGGGAGAGGAGACAGGCATCATTTGAATTCCAGCCTGTGTTTGCTGCTCAAAGCCTCAGTCAGGCTGATCTGGAGAATTACGCTTACTTTTTCCCTGAGGATCACCTGGCAGAGGCCCGACCGCAGGTTCAACCCCAGTGGCCCACCCCGAGTGGCCTAACCTCGGCCAAAGCTCTGGAGGTGTGTCAGATGGCTTTGGCCAACTCCACTGTTGGCACAGTGTGTCGGGGGCTGCTGGGACGCCGCCTGGACGAGGCGGTGGATCTCTGTATCCTTGACCTGCAGCTCAAAGATGATTTGGGCTGGGAGGAGGCCCTGCTGCCGCACCTGGAGAATGAGTGTGAGAGGAGGTTACTGGAGAACCGGACCCAGAGAGCTTTGGAGGTGGCAGGTCGACCGGGAATGTCCGGGGAAGTGGTCACGGCATTGCGCTGCCCCAACTTTTGCAATGGGAATGGAGAGTGTACAGAATGGGGCTGCCAGTGCTATCCCAGCCACAGCTTCTATGACTGCAGCCTGGCCATCAGTGAGTATATGAGTATTTTCTGGTGATCTTTACGTCTGACAGTCTCTTTTATAAATTATCAGCTGAAGTAACAAATATTCTCCCATTTGAATGACTTGTAATTTACTCAGGCCAGCCAGTAGAGTTAACTGATTTGGAGAACAGTGGATTATGTGACATCCACGCATTTGACTGCCGCAACGTTCGAGTCTTTGGCCTTGGCTTCATCGACTCTCCTGACCTCAGTTGTCATGCCACCAGACTGAAGGTTAGGAAAGGGGAGGTCAAATACATAGCTGTGAACCTTAAAGATGAAAGTGTTATAGATTCCTTCTGAATTTCTGCCTCCACAGTACATGAATGGAGTTTGGGTCGCAGGAGAAAAACAGAGAACAAAAGCCACCTTCCTCAGCTCCAAAGCTTTAGACTGTGTCGTCCCGTCTTTGAGCAACACCGCCGTCAACACGGAAGATTTCATGATGGATGACAAGCCATACGCACGCTGGGAGATAAAGGTAATGTTGCAGTAGAAATGTCTTTTCTTGGTTGATGGCTCTTTTGTTGGAAGATGTTCACAAAATATCTCATCTCATTCACGTCAGGTGACCAATGACGGCTCCCAGTACAGCCAGGCCAAGGTGCTGACGATCTACGATGGCGTTTGCCAGGTCTGCGAGGCATCGCGCTCAGGACTCTGTAAGTTAAAGGTAACTTGCATATGAAAGTGAAATGTTTTTCTACACTGAAGTTGATCATCTCCTGCACAGTGAATTGAAACTATTATTTCAGCACTGATCCATCGGCCAATTCCAAGAATCCACCATTTTAATTAAAAATAATTCAGGACTGTAAGATTCAAATAGATGGAACTTTTAGGATTTAGCAATTAGGTTAGCTCATGCAATTAATCTGTTATTCTGTGCGTGGGGCAATTACAAGGAAAATATTTGCTGTACCTGAGTCACGGTTCAAGGTCATAGTTCATATTCTCCCTGCTCATATTCAGGTTGATCATTTCAATTTGTGTTATTACTTGAAAAGGTATGTTGAGAAAACACATCACTTTCACACACATACTGTCCATTGCTGCAACTCCTCTTTTCACGTATATAAACCCTGCCGTATTAAAAAAGCAGTGCACACAATGGATTCTAAATTTCCCTATAAACGGGGCAGCTGCTGCTTGGTGTGAAGTATTCACGTACCTCCAAGATTTCTTCCACAACAACACCTATTTGCAACACTTGCGTACCGCAGCAGTGTTCGGGCTGAAGGCTGCTCTGTCTTTGTTAGAGCGTGTGCCAGACTAGCAGCTCATCACGATGATGCAGAAACATCTTCCAATCTACTGACTTGAGGCTGTTTGACATTGCAGAACATTTACATCCACAAAAAACGATAGAACACACTAGAGGTAGGAAAAACTAAAACAACCTCATCAACCTTTACTAATGTTAATTCGTTTGTGAATTTCCATATGGGTGTTTTTTGAGTGGGTAAAGACACTTAAAGTCATTTTTTACATTTAGGCCACTAAAGATATTTTGTTAACTTGAAGAAAAAAATCCTCCTCATGGTTAAAAGAAACAAGAAAGACACTACAGGCGACTTTTCACCTCCATGACTTCTAGCTTTTTTTCTTGTTAGTTTAGTCATAATTCACATGGAAACTTGGACTCTCCATGTTTGTTTATTTGAATATAAATAGAGACACTGGGTGTTTAGTGAAAAAAGCGTGGTGAAGTGTTTTATATGCTCTGTTAGGGGTGCAGACTGCTACGACTTGAATGACTAAACCAGAGACAGAGGGATTTCCCATCCTCGTAACATGGAGCAGCTGATTAAAAACTTTACCTTCATCAGACAAAAAGATACAGGGGGGGTCCTGTTGTTACTGGAACTGCTTTTTATGGACAGCAGAGGGAAAAACATGTAATATTACCAACAACCAGGAGTGAACACACACAGCTGCAGATACAAAGACACTTGCATGTTTGCCAAAGCTGGAGCAAATTGAATTAACTTAAGAGGAGATGCAGCACATGATTTCCTGTTCCTTACCTGGCAGAGAAACCCTGATAGGAAAAACAAACAGCTTGGAAAAAATGTGTTTTATAAAGTTGTAATTCCTGCTGTTAACATGTCAACCATTCAAAGCAACATTGTAAATATGAGGACACAAACAAACCTTGTTTCTGTTTCGCTCTGTTTCTGTTGGCCAGGAGCGAACGTGTAACATCGATGGGATGTGTTTTGCAGAGGGAAACTCCAATCCCAGCAGCCCTTGCCTCCTGTGTGACCCAGACACCTCCAAATTCACCTGGTCTGTGAACCAAGGTACCAACACGTTATCATGTTTGTCTCATCACGTAAGAGAACAGCCTTTTTATAACCGTCATCAAAGTTTTCTCTTCCCTCGCTAATGACGACCAACAACAGGGACGAGCAGCATTTTTCTTACTGTGTTACTGCCGTAGCAGCCGTGGCAGCCTGTCACCTTGGCAGCCGTCCAACCGCGGTCCTGTTTGTCTCCATTAGCAGATCAAAGCAGCGGAGGTTTAAGTTTCCCAGCATGCCTAGGCCTGTCGCTTAACCACTCTGAGGGGAGAGGGGAGACAAGGGGGGAAATCACATGGTTGATTTTCACAGCGACACAGGCTGACCATCGTCCTTCCTTACCCCAGAATGAAGCACGAATCAGCTGTAACACTGAGGCTGCAATAGCTGAGCTGTGCACTAAAATAGAGGCAGATGAAAGTGTTTTTTTTTTTTTTTTTGCTGGATGGAAGAAGAATCAAATGTCTGCACTGCCAAGATTTTATGTTTCTTTCAGCAGTTAGTTTGGAATTCAGAAAGAGTCATAATTTCACTTATCAGCAAGTGCTCTGCTTTTTTAACATATGACCATCATGCTGCGCAGGCGTTTCCTTAATTCCCCCTCACTCTCCCCCTGCTGAACATCCAAGGCAAAGAGCGTGATCTGAGTGGTGGGTGGGGGGGTGGGGGATGCTACATGATCTTGCTGAAATGGCCGTTGAGAGCTGCAGCTGGAAAGAAACGATGGAAACCCCTCCTGCCGCAGAGTGAATGAGTGTTTATGACGATTCTTCCAGGAACAGCCTGGACGGATGTTTGTGCCTAACAGAGCCTGTTTAAAGAGTTTATTTCAGGACAGTAAGAAAATCCTGACATCAAAACACAAACATGTGTAGTTGGATATGTAATAATAAAGGTAGCTTCTAATTTTGAGTGCAGGTTTTTATAAATTGCATAATAAATGTATTTCGGCTACCCTGTTTCTTCACCTTTTCCTCCTCTGGCAGTCAACGAGCCACCGGCCTTCCACCGACCTCAAAGTGACCTTCGGACATTTGCCGGGGAGAACTTCGTCTTCCAGTTTGCAGCGTCAGACCCTGAGGGCTCGGCGCTCCTCTTCCAACTGGAGGAGGGTCCGACAGGGGCCGTTCTCTCCCCAGCCGGCCTCCTCATCTGGAGGGTCCCGCTGCTTCCAGAGGAGAGGGGGCGTCAGTCGAGGCGCTCGTTCCGCTTCACACTATCTGATGAGTGCAACGCCCAGAGTACTTTCACTGTGCAGGTAGAGTTGGAGGAAGAGAAAGGGAGACAGATGAAACTGACAGGAAAGAAAGAATCATTTATAAATGTTCATCATCTAGAATGGCCTGGTAGAATTATTGTAAATAATGGTTGGAAAGTCAGTGAGTAGCATTTTAACTTCATCATCAGTGGAGATGATGCAGGAAGAAACAGGAATTATGGGAAATGCGGTCTTAACTTTAAAGGACATTAAAACTCTTAGTTTTGCTGGGAGCCTAACCAAGGACACAGTTATTGTTGAACATCAAAATGCAGCATTGAAAAAAAACCTCAGTGGTGGCTCCTTCCTTTATATCATCCAGATCGATGTGGTGCCGTGTGGTTGTCAAAATGACGGCACGTGCGTGACCGACGTCAACTTCCCCGCCGGCAGTGGGAGACACCTGTGCGTGTGTCCCGAGGGTAAGCAGGGTGAGCTCTGCGACAAGGACGAAGAGGCGTGTCTGTCAACTCCGTGCGCCGCTGGAAAGTGCGTCAATACAGCCGGTGGGTACAGATGCGAGTGTCCTGCAGGGTTGAGAGGTAAGAGTTGATGAAACTGAAATGTATCTGTGCCTGAATTCATTTTGGCATCACAGTAACAGTTTCCCGTTTGTTGGCAGGTACCACATGTCTGGAAGATGTCAATGAGTGTGAAAGAAATCCCTGTTTCCCTGGAGTCCAGTGCTTGAACAGCTTTGGCTCCTACAGCTGTGGCCCCTGCCCTAAAGGCATGCTGGGAAATGGGACAAAATGTCTGGGTAAGTGATGTGGGCATTTTTTTAAAGGTGTGTTATGCCAAGACAGCTGCTCCAGTTCAATATGGTCCTCACACATTTCACATCAGTAGATACAGTACGTCATTGAGCAAGGCACTGAGTAACCAACCTTCTCACTTACCATATGTTTCTGTGGAGAGACGCACTGAAGTTTTTATTTACGAGTCATTCAGGTTCGCTAAATCTGGCGTCCAGTCATGAGATCTGTTGGTGAAAGAGCATAAAACAAAGTCTGATCGTGTCGTCATGAGAATAAAATGAGAACATTTTACTTTCCTCA